TTACAGAAGACGCACTAATTTTCGGTTTGGGTGCAAGTTGCAAAGTAACCGAACACAAGTACCAGATTTCTTGTCGGTGAAATTTAGGTGTGCAGATACAAGCCTACTAGCTTTCACACAGCATCTAGTTCCTTGCTTAGTTGTAGCGTAGGTGCCGATGAGAAGTGTGCGTTACTTGAGCATTACACGAACAACACTGGGTGTTTACTTGGATTAGTTGCCATTACACGAACCCTGACGGCATGTTACTAGTAATCTGATTTTTTTGGTGATCTTGGACCCCCTACAATTATTCCTCCCTCTCTTCCCGCCATAATTTCTACTTCTGTTTGTAATTACTATCTCCAAGCAATACAAAAAACCAGATTACAGGTAATATGTCAACAATGCTCGTGTAATGGCAGCTGGTACAAGTAACCATTCAATGTTGCTCGTGTAATGCTCGAGTAATGCACAATTCCCAACAGTGGCCGCCCACTTATAAAGTTAATGTCTTAGCCCTTTTCCAGTTAACATCTCAGTTCCCTCCTCTGTGCTACGACTTTCGAGGGATGAACTGCCCCCACTCTCCTCCCCATCCCCCTTCGTTAGCCGTCCCCCCCCCTCCACCCCGCTTCATTAACCGTAACCCCCGCTCCCTTCTGAGGCGCCTATTTTAAATTATTTATTGCGCGTCAGCCCCGGATTGGCCCTCTGCCAGTTGGCAATGTGCCAGACTGTAGAGACTGCATTGCGAGATTCAAGTACGTGGCGTTTGACGTGTTGGCCACGGTTAGCGGGTCTGTTGTGTGGTCGGTTTGTGGTGTTTGTTAGTGCTTGGGTAGTGTTGCCCTCGGGTAGCCTTGGGCGGTACCCGAATTTCTTTTTTTTTTTGAAATTTGATCATTTCGGAATTAACCATTTTTTTAAAAATACGTAACAAATCGCTGTTTCGCTATCTTTCGTCTTGAGTAAAGCTGTATTTTTGTGTTTGGAAAGAAGAAATCGCAGTTTGTACCGTGTCACTGTGAAAAAAAAAGTGAAATAAGGGGGGAGGGGGAGGGAGAGGGGAAAAGGAGGGAGGGGGAAGGGGAAGGAGAGAAGGGGGAGGGGAGAAGAAGAAGGGAAGTGAAGGAGGATGGTTGCTTATACAGAGTGAAGCTATTTATACAGAGTAATAATACATCTACTACTGTCATAATCCATCTAGTAATTTGGCTAGTTTTGTGTTGTGCTTGAATGTGAAGAGAAATGGTATTATTTGTTATTTTTATAATTATTGTT